CTATTTATTCAAACTGACTTTAAATTAAACTGAGATTAAGTTAAAATGCTCGTATTTACTATCTACATCTGTGAAGTATTTGATAGCTACTGTAAAAGCTGTATGAAGTGAGAGACGCCATTGTGATAGTCACACAACGCTGTCACGTAACGGAATTTGTTGCAGTGCAAAACCCCCGTATTTAAGCAAATTCCTGGGTTTTGGCTGTTTTGGGGAAATTATGAAAAAGGAGATGTCACTAGAACGGGCTGCTGAAAGCAATTCAGCCGGGTGCTAAGGGCCACAGAGCCGTTAGTTCACTTAGCGATTGACAGAGCCTCTGCCTTAGCCTGACTTGACGTTCTCAGCCACTGGCGGTCCTGACCACATCATCGCCATCTTGGACCGTCCACGCTGATTCTGCGTCGCAAAGGATGTCCAAAGAAGACGTCAGTTGGGCATTGGATGCACGTGGCATCATGGTATCACTGGCCTTGTCGTTTCTGCTCTGAACTGGTTGAGGCCTTCTTTTGTTCTGGCTGTTCCACGACTTGTATTCAATTCTACCGAGAGTTGCTGTGGTTGTCAACGGTGGACTGACGGTACGGCGAGCGATCGGGCTTTGTGTGGGGTACCCCAGGACCCCCGTCACTGACTCGCATACTGCCTCGCGCCTCGACCTTGCGTCCAACCGATGGCTTCTGCTGGCTTAGTAGGTAGATGCAAACATCGGTAGAGGTGATCTGGTTAAATCGCGAGCAAAGGATCACAAACGAACACAAAAGGGGAAGACGAAACGTCTGCCTAGTTCGGCAGTGGGGCATCTGAGGCAATGAGCTCTTCTGCCAAGGCTCAAACACAGCTGCTCGCCTCGGGAGTATTATCGGCTAGCACAGAAGCTAGCGTTACTCAAAGTAAACACAGTATACGCGTTGGCGATGATAGGGCTAGTGTAACTCTGGCAATGACAGAAATACGTAACCGCGTCGGCGCGGGGCCCAACTCACGGCCGGGGTAAGGAGCAGCAAAGGGATTATGACGGCAGCGGAAGAATCGTGCTACGACGAGAAAGCCAATGGGCAATCGGAGGTATATATCGGATGTGATATTTGAAGAGGATGCGCCTAACTATCAAAGTTGTTCATCAGAGTGAACGCAGTTGGCGCAATCGTATCTTCGTGTCAGAATGATGGAAACCTTTCGAGGACCAAAAATATGATTGAAAGCGATATAAGCAGGAGCAATGCAAGTGAGTGTATGATTTGGCGTAAGCGGGCTATGGCAATGCAACAGCTTCGCTTGGATCAGCGTCCTTTGTGACCCTTCTTATTGCTTGTCAAACTCGTTCGTACTAAATATATTATCCATTAGGTGATTTATTTTGTATAGACACACCGGAAAATTAAATAAATAGTAAAAAATGAATCTATTGCTCTTTCATGGCGAGTGCGGATGGGTCCATAGTTAGGCCTGATTCAGGTCAAGTTTTGTCGCGCTTGTTATTTGGTAGGCATTAACGCAATTATCTAGAATATAGTTATTCCTTATAGTCTGTTGTTTTTTAGTGATACGTTGTCATTGCATGAAATCGCTTTTGTGATGCATATGTAACAGAGCAACTTAACGTTTTCTTCGTCCTAATTATAGGTTTTTTTTTTTTAAAATAAAATTCTACTATTTTGATGCGAACGAAAAATGCGGAGCTTTGTAACAGCCTTTCTCCCGTGTAACTAAAAGGAGCTATCGGCAACGATACTGGATCAAAGGCAAGATAAACACGTGAAGCAATAGCTTCAACTATCAATTGTATAAATTCAGATATACGCTATCGCTTCTGCTTCTGTCTATTCGAGTGGGATCAATGTTTAGACAAATTCATACACGCCCGCATGGATCAGTTCGCTGATCCTTCGAACCGTTGAATAAAGAGAGCGAAAACCCTTTTACCCGCATAAAAATCTGGTGCAGATCGATATGGAAACGCTTGCACCCTACACCTAGCGTACGAAGTTATTTGTATACTTTATAAGCAATAAAGGAAAATTAAACCGCTACGATAAAACGTACAAGAAACAATCCTACGACGGGCTTCGTCATTTTCCTTCAACTTAATTTATTCTATCGAGTCTATGTTTATAGTATAATTCTTTTATTATCCAGAATAGCTTGACCAGGGCACGCTAAGATTTTGTTTTTTAAGAAGTCGGCCTTAAACACCAGCTTCAAATGGTCGTTCCTAATCGATGCATCTTAAAAAAACAAATCGAGGCCATTAAGTTTACAATTAAAAGCAAAGTATTTCGATAAGCAGAGTTAAGTAAATCTACGATTAGGTTTGATAGGCTCAAATTATAGTATATCTGAAGAAAGCAAGCTTTACATTTCGAGTTTTACGTCCAGCATCGCCCTTAAGCATTCCGCCAGACAGAAGGCTGGCTTCCAGCACGAACTAAGACCAAATTTAGACAACAACGTATCCCTAAGATCAGCAGGCAATTACGTTACAGGACAAGAAAAGCAACCTATACTGTCGTCGCCTATGTATTGAAATTGGTGAAACCTGTGTATATAACTTTTTTCTTTTTTTTTTTTTTTTTTTTATCAATAAACACAACTCAATAGAAATTATTCTCCGAAAAGGTGCCAAATCGATTGCAATCAACCTGTTGATCAATGCGGCGCACAAATAATACGACCAGGCTGTATTGATAAACAATTCATGATGTCTTTCAGAACGAAGTTCGTACAATCGTTTGGGATGCTTGCCAAATTAATTTTCCTGGGTTCATATAATAAATAAGTGTTTCATTCGGGGTCCTGTTTCATCATGGAACTTCATTAGGGAGCTATTGCCTCGTCCGTACAAACAGCATGGCTGAGATAGTCTGACTCTCGATGGCGGTAGATGGGAATACCGATGACCTTACAAATGGAAAAAAAGAATTTCGGTAGAAAACTGTGATCTCACGATGCTGGAAATTTAACTAGAAAGTTATGTACCGAGTGCATAGAGTACTGGGTAATCATTGGAAGTAAATCGCCTCTTCTGCAGTGGGCCCGGAGAATAAATAGATTTCTTTCATTCATACAAATCATGTGCTATGTGTCGTTGCTGGCACTTGAAGCGATGATTACTAATCTCTTTCAACTAAGCGCTTGGCCGCCCAAAAAGGACCCAGCCTATTTGGACCCGAGTAATGGACTTGTGTTTTGTTTACATCTACTTTAAGTGATAATAAAACACTCCGTCTGACTTCTTCGACGGCTAGATATGTAGGGCATTCTTATGCTTCGAGCAATCGCACTTCAAAGATGTATAATTTCTTGTGTGATGCTTGAATTGGCCATCCTTAATACATAATGGTAAATTCCGCGAAATGTGCGAACTAGAAATAGAAAACCATATTAGTGGTCTCCTACATCAATTAATATACGAAATCTATATGAGGTTAATGCCTAAATATAAATTTTTTCTTTTTTTTTTCAATTATACGGCCAAAACGTAGCGGTATCATAGACCCAGCGAATTACGCCGAGAAAATACTGCCTTGAGTCATGTAGAGTCCAATCCTTCAGCCGTGACTACTATTAATAATTACCAAATTACCAAACCAAATAATTACGAAAATCATCAAATTGCTTATTACTTTTTAATAATAATGATAGCTCATGTACATTCCTGTTCCGCACAGAAACATTAAACGACGGTATGCTTGCTTTCGTACTTGAGCCTCTCTCCACCTTCATTGTTTTTCTGTATACCGTAGCGGTATCGAGTATGCACAACCTAATGTGTACGTAGATTCTATCGCTGGAGATTTAGCGCGGCCAACGACCTGAGAAGATAACAGGGGCGTACTCTTATCTTCCAGCGGCTCGGCTGACTGACTGATGAGATCGCGGTAGATTCCCCCATGTACGTTTCCAACCGATAAAAATCATAATTATAAGCTAAATTAGGCCTCCAAGCAAAGGAAAAGCTTAATCGGAGAGCTTATAAGCCAAAAACGCAAAATGAACAAATGTGGTTGAACGGAAACGGAGCTGCGGTGACGCAACTCTGATATGAAGCCGGCGCCGTCGGACGGCGTTGTGTCGCTACTTGTTCCGGATGTTGAAAACCATTTTTGTTACCTCGAAGTAGTTGTTTTGGCTTCTTACCAACGTCGCTGGCTTCAGTAGCAATGGACAATAGCTTAGATGTCGACGAGATAGAAGGCTGATGAACGATTCAAAAAGGCTGGTGACTGTGAGGCAGATTGAGACTATAGGGTAAATACGCCGTTGA